CAGTGCAATTTCCTGCTCCAGGTGGCCAGAAGTGGCCTACTTTTTAGGCCATAAATTCGGCCAGAAATTCCAAGTACAGTGTTACTATGTGTTACTAATAGTGTAGTGGTTTTGCTTCAAATGCAGCTTATGAATTTCAGACTGTACCCATTCATGGCAAAATGGCTATCAACCACTGTCCTCGCTTCAAACGCGAAAAATTGTGTTTTCAGAAAGTAAAATGCGGATGAAATAAAAGAAAAAATATGTCTGGGTTTTTGGTGAGTCATAGATTTCAAAGAGTTTTACATCCAATTTCCCTTACTAAAATATATCTCACCTAACAGTCACTTATCACCGTATGTATCTTTATTTTATATATAATTATGTAAATATAAATATAGGAGACTGTAAATTAAGCGCGCGTAAAATTGGGTCATTAATGGCGCAAAAGTTGGGGTCACTAAGCGCGCATAAACCGGGTCACTCCAAGCGCAGAACAGTTATATATATATATACATTATTTATTATTATTTATTTAAAAATGAATCGCAGGTTACCGAAGGTTACGCGAAATTGCGGGAGGTTATGGGAGGTTTACGGAAGGTTACGGGAGGTTACGGGATATCCCGAATCTAGAGATTCTAGACTCAGATTCTAGCTTGGTTACGGGAGGTTACGGGAGGTTACGGGATACTCAGATTCTAGAGATTCTACACTCAGATTCTAGCTTGGTTACGGGAGGTTACGGAAGCTTTACTCTAAGGTATGCCAAATTCCCTGGGATGTAAGTCGCAGGTTGCTTGGAAACATGTTTCTCTGAGAGAAAAAAAACTTTGAGCATCGCTTTCCATGCCACAACAATTGAAGCCACACCATGCAACAGCCTCTGCACGGACTCCTGCCAATAAAGCGGATAAAATTCTCCCAAGCCTCATCCCCATCTTTCTCATCAATTTCTTTTCCTCCTTTTCTCTTTGGAACCTCACATGAGCAGTGCCCTACCTGGATGTTCGAAAAGGCAGACAAATTTGTCCGCTTGGATCCTGCCCGGCATTGAGTCGCCTTGGTTGAATGAACTTGAAAGTGACAACAGTCAGGTTCCATGCCGGCTCACATTTCCTTGCCTCATCGGGTGCTTTCTCATCCCTTTCAGTCTCACTTTTGTCTGGCGGAACCTCACATGAGCAGTGCCCTACCTGGACAATCGAAAAGGTAGACACAATTTGCTGTGAAGGAATTATTGCCATGGCTTTGGCTTCTGCACCCGCCTTTCTTAACTTTCTAAATGCACATCAGATTCATGTGATGAACCATGCAAATACATGAGATTCCTTCCGTTCTGAATGCGTTCCTTCTCAATTCATGAATTCCCATGGGCCCTCTGAGACTCTTGAATGAACCACGCAGAGTCGAGTACCAAGCCCCAAGCCTTCCACGTCCCTCTAGCTCCCGTCGCCCTGCCTTGGCCTTCTTCGCGGCCGCCGCCTTCACTAAGGCTTTTGGGGCTGCCTGATACCGTTGTTACAACATCGGACAAGCTTGGCCGCAGGAAATGTAACCTTTCGGCCCCGTTATGCCAAATTCATTGGGGTGCAATTTGCTAGCTGCTTTGGAAAGCTGCTTCTCTCCTACTAGCAAAATGAGAACATCACTTGCGACGCCAGAAAAGTAGTGGCCACACCATGCAACATGAAACTTCTTTCAATCTGAATGCCTACAGATCTCAATTACTTAATCCACATGGGCGAGACTCTCGAGCGAACCAAGCAGACTCGAGCCCCAATTGCCAATTCGCCCACGTTTCCTAAGCCTGCCGCCTTGCTCGCGGCCTTTGCCAAGGCTTTCCTGGCTGCCTGAGACCACGGTGACGACATGGGCCAAGCTTGGCCGCAGGAAGTCGAACTTTTTGGCCGTGGTATGCCAAATTCCTTCAGATGTAATTTGCCAAATTGGTTGGACACATGCTTCTCTGAGAGAAACACAGTTCGAACATTGAGGCCACACCATGCAAAAACCGCTGCACGGACTCCTGCCAATAAATGAATAAAATACTCCCAAGCCTCATCCCCATCTTTCTCATCAAGTTCTTTTCTTCCTTTTCTCTTTGGAACCTCACATGAGCAGTGCCCTACCTGGATGTTCGAAAAGGCAGACAGTATCGTCCGCTTGGAGCCCGTCAGCCCTTGAGTCGACTTGGTTGAATGAAACTGGAAGTGACAACAGTCAGGTTCCATGCCGGCTCACATTTCCTTGCCTCATCAGGTGCTTTCTCATCCCGTTCAGTCTCACTTTTGTCTGGCCGAACCTCACATGAGCAGTGCCCTACCTGGACGGTTACGAAAAAGCAGACAGAATTAGCTGCTCGGAATTTCTACTCCCTTGTTTTCGACAGGATGAATACTCCCCCCGTCAAGCGGGCACAATCTCTCCGGAAAGAAGAAACGCCATGGCTTTGGCATCTGCACCCGCCTTTCTTAACTTTCTAAATGCACATCAGATTCATGTGATGAACCATGCAAATACATGAGATTCCTTCCGTTCTGAATGCGTTCCTTCTCAATTCATGAATTCCCATGGGCCCTCTGAGACTCTTGAATGAACCACGCAGAGTCGAGTACCAAGCCCCAAGCCTTCCACGTCCCTCTAGCTCCCGTCGCCCTGCCTTGGCCTTCTTCGCGGCCGCCGCCTTCACTAAGGCTTTTGGGGCTGCCTGATACCGTTGTTACAACATCGGACAAGCTTGGCCGCAGGAAATGTAACCTTTCGGCCCCGTTATGCCAAATTCATTGGGGTGCAATTTGCTAGCTGCTTTGGAAAGCTGCTTCTCTCCTACTAGCAAAATGAGAACATCACTTGCGACGCCAGAAAAGTAGTGGCCACACCATGCAACATGAAACTTCTTTCAATCTGAATGCCTACAGATCTCAATTACTTAATCCCCATGGGCGAGACTCTCGAGCGAACCAAGCAGACTCGAGCCCCAATTGCCAATTCGCCCACGTTTCCTAAGCTCCCAGCCCCCTGCCTTGGCCTTGCTCGCGGCCTTCGCCGAGGCTTTTGGGGCTGCCTGAGACCGCGGTGACGACATCGGCCAAGCTTGGCCGCAGGAAATGTAACCTTTCGGCCCCGTTATGCCAAATTCATTGGGATGCAATTTGCTCGCTGCTTGGAAAGGTGCTTCTCTCCTACAAGCAAAATTAGAACAGCAGTTTAGACGCCCAAAAAGTAGTGGCCACACCATGCAACATGAAACTTCTTCCATTCTGAATGCCTACAGATCTCAATTAGTTAATCCCCATGGGCCCTCTGAGACTCTCGAGTGCCCAAGCCCCAAGCCCCAATTCTCCCACGTTTCCTTAGCTCCCATCGCCCTGCCTTGGCCTTGCTCGCGGCCTTCGCCGAAGCTTTTGGGGCTGCCTGAGACCGCGGTGACGACATGGGCCAAGCTTGGCCGCAGGAAGTCAAACTTTTTGGCCGTGGTATGCCAAATTCCTTCAGATGTAATTTGCCAAACGGCTTGGAAACATGCTTCTCTGAGAGAAACACAGTTCGAACATTGAGGCCATACCATGCAACAACCGCTGCATGCACTCCTGCCAATAAATGGATAAATACTCCCAAGCCTCATCCCTATCTTTCTCCTCAATTTCTTTTCTCCGTTTTCTCTTTTGAACCTTAGATGAGGAGCGCCCTACCTGGAAGTTCGAAAGGGCAGACAGTATCGTCCGCTCGGAGCCCGTCAGCCTTTGAGTCGACTTGGTTGAATGACAACAGTGAGGTTCCATGCCGGCTCACATTTCCTTGCCTCATCAGGTGCTTTCTCATCCCGTTCAGTCTCACTTTTGTCTGGCGGAACCTCACATGAGCAGTGCCCTGCCTGGACAATCAAAAAGGGAAAGAGAATTTTGCTGCTCGGAATTATTTCGTATTTTTTCGACAGGATGAGTATACTCCCCCCATTAAAGCGGGCACAATCGCTGACAGGTACAGAGGTGACAACATGCAGGAAGCTTGACGTTTTTGGCCCTGGTATGCCAAATTCCCTGGGATGTACCTTGCTCGTTGCTTGGAAAGCGGCTTTCTTTGAGAGAAACACAATTCGAACATCACTTTCCACGCACCAACAATTGAGTCTTAACACCATGCAACAGCCTCTGCACGGACTCCTGCCAATAGAGCGGATGAAAAACGCCCAAGCCTCACCCCTATCTTTCTCATCCATTTCTTTTCTTCTTTTTCTCTTTGGAACTTCACAGGAGCAGTGCCCTACGTACCTGGATGTTCGAAAAGGCAGACCCTGGTATGCCAAAGTCCTTGGGATGTAATTTGCTAGGGGCTTGTGAACATGTTTCTCGGACTTCTGCGAATCAAGCGGATTAAATACGCCCAAGCCTCAGCCCCATCTTTCTCATCCATTTCTTTTCCTCCTTTTCTCTTTGGAACCTCACATGAGCAGTGCCCTACCGGGATGTTCGAAAAGGCAGACAAATTTTTCCGCTTGGATCCTGTCAGCCCTTGAGTCGACTTGGTTGAATGAAATGAAATATCGCCATGGGCCCTCTGAGACTCTCGGGTGAACCAAGTAGTCGAGCCTGAAGCCCCAAGTGGTCCACGTTTCCTAATCTCCCATCGCCCTGCCTTGGCCTTGCTCGCGGCCTTCGCCTTCGCCGAGGCTTTCGAGGCTGCCTGATACTGCGGTGACAACATGGGACAAGCTCATCTGCAGTTTGACTAAGTTTTTGGCCAAAAACAATGAACACAATTCTTCAATGGAACCATGCCACGGTGAAGCTACCAATGGTGAAGTTTCGCGTGGTAGCTTCAGTTATATCATTGCAGTCCGAGTGCTTGGGCAGGATGTGATTTGTCAAAGCATATTTCCATCAAAAAGCCGCGGGCCAGGCACGTGAGCTAAAAGTCGAAAATTGTAAAGAACAAAAAGGATGTGGAATGATGTTGCCATTGGATTCTGTCAGGCCTTTGGTCAAATTGGTTGAAGGAGCTTGGAACTAGCACAGTCAGGTCCCATGGCAGCTCGATTCCCTTGCCTCAGGCTCTGCTGTCTCATTTGGTTTCTTTTTCAACGTTTTCTTTCGGAACCTCATATGAGCAGTGCCCTACCTGAAGATTAGAAAAGTCACACAGTATCGTTCGCTTGGGATCAAATTTTGCCGGAGGAATTTTAAACTCCCAAATTCCCTTGCCTTAGCATCTGCTCTCTCATCTGCTTCTGCTTTGTTCTGAGCCTTTACAGCCACGTTGCTCTCCATCACGCCAAATGCGAGGCACTGCATCACCGGTAGCGCTCCGGCAGGTTGGCTGAGATCCACAGTCGACATGCAAGGCACACAGCAGACACTCCACTCTGTGCTCTCTGCGCACCCTCGGAATCTAGAGTACGCTCTTGCGAGAGTTCGCAAGGGCGATATCTTCTGGATTCGAAACATCACAGACGGGTGCCCTTCCCCGACGGCGACCAGTATGGTCTTCTGCGGTTCCTGCAAACTCAAAGCTGGCTGCTACACCCAAAATGAAACAAGAGGCAATATTCGAGCATTGCTTGGCCGGTCCAGAGTGGCCAAAATTTCATTGCCCTCTGCAAGGAACTCATCGTCCCGATC